CACATGACCACTGCCTCTTGGTGCAGCCGCCGCTTCTCCTCCATCCGCTTTGGAGTGTAATGGTGGCTCATGCTGTCCAGGTACTCCATGCCGCCGAGCTCTACCCTTTTGAGCGACAGGATGAACTTGACGTCCCCGTCCGCCATCCGAACTTTGCGTTTAGCATCACCAGCCTTGCTCTTCTTTCGGGCTATTAACTCGTCGAGGGCTGCCGCCGCCGCGGCTGCTATACCTTCCATTAAAGATATAAACTCCTCCGCCTCCAACTCTTCTTCTTCTTCTTCCTGCTCCAAGGACAGCTCCAGGGCGTCAAGATGGGTGGTTGAGTTACCTTGTGCGTGGCCTGCAGAGGCAGCCATGGTCAGCTCCTTGGAGTTGCTCTCCAGGTCGACGTGATCTGTGGTGGAGTTAACTTGGGCCATCACGGGTGGATTTGTACGTCAGCTTCGCGTCGATTCGACGTGGGTTGTGGGTTTGAGGCTTGTTCTTCAGCCTGGATCTCGCCGCCTCCAGATTTAAAGAGGAGGGAGGAGAGGAACCCTGGCGCAGTCGGAATCGGAAGCAGAATCCATTGAGTTCCAGTCAGGACCAGGCTGCCAGCTTCTCGAGCTCCAAGGCCGGGCCCACGAAGTGACGCACTACCTGCGGTGCACCTATATGAGCCGGCCCAGTAGCTTGTACTTTTTTTCCTGCAAATATAGTAGCTTGTACTTTTTTCTGATTTTATTTAATTATCTAATGTAATTTATTTAAATAAAAAAGTATTAAAACCAGTTCAGACGTAAACAAATGCGGAAAATGTTCCTTTGCTTCAGTAAAATATTAGTGACAAAAATATATGTATGAACAAAATGTTCCCTTGCTGCAACGAAAATATTTGTTTTTTTAATCCTGAATAAATAGTAGATTTTAGAAAAAGAAATCACTTCAAACATAAAACGATGGGGGAAAATTGTTCTCATGCCGCAATAATAATGTTCATATATACGAAAAGATGTTCGCCTTATATGCTTAATAAAAGTTCGTCTCTTATGCTTAATATAAATGTTCATGTGTTAAAAAAAGTAGCTGCGTTTTGAAAAAAACGTTAAAATATTAGTGACAAAGGTTGAACAAAAATAAAGGAAGAAGAGGAATAGTACGAAGAGGTAAAAATAAACAGTAAATAGAAAAGGAAAGGGAAACATGAAAGAGGGAAGGAAAGTGGCGAAAAATCATTCCAATAGAAAAACAGCTCCATAGGCCCATTGCGCTTGTGTGGGTACGTGTTATAGTGACATTTCCATGCAGTGAGTGTAGAATAGGAAGTGCATGTGGTTTAACCCACGCAGTTGGTCACACAACTTAGTGAGGCCAAATAAGGATTTATAGACATTTTTGTACTGGAGTTGGACCAACAGGAAATTGATTAGGAATTTCTAAAGAAATCCTATATATATCAAATAAATATTTAACTCAAAGATACATAGAAAGGCTTCATGTATAATTATGCAAATTAGCTATGAAATAGGCCTGAAGATGTGACGAACTTAGGAACTTGAATCGACTCAACTAGATTTGAAATGAATGTTCTATGAATTTCTAAAATTGACTAGAAATGGGAAAATGTATTGGGCACTATTCAAGCAGGCTCAACAGGCTGACCTAGTTACTTAAAACACCCACCGAGCGGCCCTTAAGCAGACACACACACATGAGGCACTAGCTCGGCCCAGCTTTGGGCCCACTAGCTAGGATTCGCCGTCAATGGCACGCTTTTGAGGTGGTCCCACTCATTAGGACATCATCTAAGTAAGGGTCAATGGGCTTTGACCCAACAGAATGCTTCATTTGGGCATTTGCGAGGTTGGGACGAAGGGAGGAAAGAAAAGTGAGGAGCGTTAAGGTGGTGGGGCAAAACTTAGTAGAAGTAAGGAACTAGGGGCACGCAAATAGGAAGCCAAACAAATATATGTTGATGCTCGAGATGCTTCAAAGTAGGCTGTCTAAATCAACAAGTGTCTTGACAGGATGAGAATTTGTGAATCAAGAAGTGTCTTGATATAGACTGGATGATCCTAAGTGCAATGAAACCAATGACACTACATTATGAATAATAGTGACATTGATCAAAGCAAAAGGGAATTTAAAACATAGCTGAAGACCATACATAACAATACAAGTATTACAAGGTTTTGAATGTGTCGGACCCGATGTCAAAGACTATACCATGAGCAAAGCATGAGAAAATACCAGATACCATGGGTGTCAAAGAAAACATGCAACTAGATTATTGATCTAGTGCAAGTGGGAGCCTGTTGGAAGTATGCCCTAGATTATTGTATTATTATATTTCCATGTTCATAATTAGGACTTTATATTCTATGTGGTTCTGAAACTTGGGAAGATCATGTCTTCCTAGGTTTTATGGTGGCTTGTCATCCTCATCATCATCCCAAGATCAGGTCATTTTCATCCTTGACCTAATCCATTATTCTTTTTCTAGGGCATAGTCCTTTTTGTTAAAGGAATAACCCTTTAAACCCTAGGTTGTGAAGCAACATATCTTTCTGTCACTCCATAAATACCCAAATAATTCTCATAATTTTTTTGGGTCATATCTTCCTCAAAATGGCAAAATATTTCATTTGCCATGTTATTTATCATGCTCAATTAATTCCTTTCCTATTCTATCCCAAATGGCACTTTGTGAAGCAAGTGCTATTTATCTTTGTTTGATTGACCCCAGACTTTTTGGACACCTTCTACTGTACATATAATTGCCCTGTGCCAAATTTCAACTTCATTTGCCTAGTAAATATTTTTCAGAAATTTTCCAAAATTTCTGTCCAGGAAGGAACTTTGTGAAGGAGCTATAAGCTATGCATATCAAAATTAATTGAAATTTTTGTCACATCCTTCACTTGATCAAATCATGACTCTCCACCAAATTGGAGCTCATGTAACCTCTCCATGTGAGCTCAGCATCAAATCTTGGTTTCTAGTCAGATTTTTCACTTTGTGAAGCAACAATATTTATATTGCTTCACTTAAGCTGAAAATTTACCAGTGCATTCTCCTATCCATATCAACTCGCTCCACCAAGTTTTGGCTCAATTCATCAAACCGTTTGCCTTGTGCAATTTTTCCAAGATTCTGTCTAGAGAGATGCTTTATGAAGCAAGTGCTAGTTTGGCTAATCCAGATGGCATGAAACTTTTTGAGCATCCTCGTTTGTCCAAATAATTGGGCCATGCCAATTTTCAGCTCATTACAAGCACATACGTGAGTGCTACTTCATCATTTCCAAATCTGGCGATTTTGGCACTTTCTACAACAAGTACCATCTAAACCCCTCCTATTAAGCCGATTTTTGGTGATAAGAATCGTCTTAGTATGTGATCATCACCAAATCCATTCCTTCGTGGCTAAGCTTGGCCCCCCTTTACTCAGCACAAACAGGTTTCTGTGCAACTGCAAACCTGCTAGCTGGGATCACATCATTGGCCACTATGCTTGTTTCTCTCCTCCTTGGCACTCAGTGTTGAACAGTCTACCTCCCAGACATGATGTGGCTAATCACCTGGCACCGCGTGCGCCAATTCACGCGGTGACCATGGGTCATGCTAGCCAAAACTCGTGCTCAGGAGAGTTCCCGTCACTGTTGTAGTCGCCTTCCTTTGCCTCTCGTCATCCCACCTTATCCAACAGTTGCCCCGTGAGCCCCTGCATCACCCTGCATTGCTGCCCCGCCCTGAATCATTGCGGTCACGTCGCCGTTGCCGCACCCATGCCACAAACAGCTCATGTCTTCCATTAGAGCTCAGCTCGAGCTCGCCCGTGAGCTCTAGAGGCTTCCCCCGCGGCTATTTAAGCGCCCCCGAGCCCCTCCGCACCTCACCACCTCCTCCCTCACCTCATTTGCTCGCTGGAGCTCACCGTATCCCTCTTCTTCTCCTCGGCGCGGCAGTCATCACCAGTCTTCTCTTGACTCCGGCCACCATGAGCCTCCTCTCCTCCTCTAGCCTCCGCCACTGCCCCCCCCTCCTCCCTACTGCTCGCCCCAACCCTCTTCCCCCTCGGCGGAGGTCCCTGGTCGTCGCCACCACCACCACCCTCCCTCCTCGGTTCTCTTCCGCCCCCGCGACCTCCAGGCCTCTTTGATTAAGGGGATTCTAAAATGAATTTTGGAGGATTCATGTTCTCAGGGGAATTCAGTTGCACAATCGATTTCATAAGAGATTTTCACCCACACCAACATCTTTGAAAGAATCTTAGTTGTTACTGTGCACAATCGATCAAACACCCTTATAATCCTGTAGTATTCAAGGTAAGATTTCACTATATCCTTCATTTTTTGTGTTCCCGTGTTTTGGAAATCCTGCGAATTAAAGAGGTCAGTAATTGTTTTGTTGAACAACCGACATTGTACGCGTCGATGTCAGCTAGGCCCGTGAACGAGATGGAACGAACCATCTCTCACTCTGATCTCTACTAGCGCAGATCCACGTGTTCCCTACTCAAGTTGGCGTGGCATGACATGTACTCTGCCTTCACCCTGTGCCATAGTAAACCAACACACTCGTGGTAGCTCCTACGCATTGGAATCCCAACGAGGTGGTGGAGGCTGGCTAGACCGTGTGGGAGGTCATCGCTGAGCGGCAAATCTAAGTCCTTGCAAGCCATAGTTCGCCTTCCTACAATAAACCATCAGTGTAAATGGGTTTGTTGACGATGTTTGTCGAGACTATATATAAGGGGTTAAACATCCGGTTTTATAGTTAGAGTTTATGTAATCGAATCGCGAAACCTCTGCTTCTTTCAGTTGGCATCCTTTTCTGCAAGCTTTGCAGATTGACTTTTGGATTGGAAGAGAAATGTCGAAATCAGGACAGCCGTTGGATCGCAAGGACGAGATCATTCCTCGGCTCACTCCTCTTATACTAGTGGCCTATCCAAGTCCAAGCTAAACCCATTGCCCTGATCTCGCGTCCCCTCCCCCACTCCCAAACCCTTCCCCGATGGCCGCCGCCGCCGCCGCGCTCCGCCGGGCCCTCGCGCCGGCGCCGGCGCTGCTCCTCCGCCGCCAGGCCCTCGTGCGCCTCCTCTCCACGCAGGCCCAGTCCTCCACCGCCCCCACCATCAGCCCCGCCGAGCTCGTCCGCATCAAGAACTCCATCCGCAGCGCCGCCACGCCGCCCGACGAGCTCGCCGCCCTCTTCCTGAAAGGCATCCCGTACCCGCCCTTCCTCGGCGACCGCTCCATCTTCTCTCTCGCCGTCTCCCGCCTCACTGCCGCCGCCCGCCCCGACCTCGTCTCCTCCGTGCTCTCCGCCTCCCTCACCGCCCTCCCGGCGCCGCACCCCTCCGAGGGCTTCCTCATCCGCCTCATCGCGCTCTACGCCGCCGCCGGTATGCCCACCCACTCCCTCTCCACCTTCCGCCTCGTCGTGCCCCCCTCCGACCGCGCCCTCTCCGCCCTCCTCGCCGCCTACTACGACGCCGGCCAGCCCGCCCGCGCCATCGAGGCCTTCCGCGACCTCTCAGCCGAGCTCTCCATCACGCCGGGCGTCGTGTCCCACAACGTGCTCCTCAAGTGCATGGTCGCCACGGGGGACGTCGCCGGCGCCCGCCAGGTGTTCGACGGAATGCCCGACAAGGCCGGCATGCAGCCAGACATAGTCTCGTGCAACGAGATGCTCAAGGGGTACCTCAAGACAGGTGACCATGCCGCGTTCGACCTGCTGCTCAAGGAGGTCACTGGCGGCAAGAGGCGGCTCAAGCCCAACGTCACCACCTACAAGCTCCGAATGTCCGCCCTATGCGCCAAGGGCAGGAGCTTCGAGGCCGAGGAGCTGCTGGACGCCATGGGCGCCAATGGCGTCCCGCCTAACCGGGAGTGCTTCAACACTGTCATCGGCGGGCTCTGCAAGGAGGGAGAGGTGGGCGCTGCGGTGGCGCTGTTCAAGAGGATGCCGGAGGTGCCCAGACTCAACGGGAAAGGTGTGTCGCCCAACTTCGAGACCTATATCATGTTGATCGAGGCGCTGGTCGAAAACAACGCGTTTGTCCCTGCCCTGGAGTTGTGCAAGGAGTGCCTGGCCAACAAGTGGGCGCCGCCGTTCCAGGCTGTCAAGGGTCTGATCCAAGGGTTGGTGAAGAGCAGGAAGGTGAAGCATGCCAAGGAGCTCGGCATGGCGATGAAGAAGGCCGCCAAGGGTGATGCCAAGGAGGAGTGGGAGAAGGTTGAGGCGGACGCCTTCCAGCTCGCGCTCGCCGAGATGAAAGCGTAACTCACCGCCCGCTTGGGACAGTATGTTGTCGCCTGTAAGCGGGTGATAAGTTATTGTTTTCTTCTTTCACTTGAAATCTATTAGATGTTCGTGTTTCTTCATGTGCTTGTGGCCGCTTGACTCTAGCAGTTCCTTTGGTTCAGGACACAATATAGATCTTTTCTCATATAAGGTACTTATTTGCATTTCAAACTACTGGGAGCTCTGCTGTCGCCTCGCCTGTAGGTGGGCATCATTAAACTTCAGTTACCAGATGCAGTTTGTACCACTTCTTTATCATCACAATTCACCTCTTGGTGCTTTAGATATTGTTCTCTGTGTAACTTTGGGAGCAGTGGGCACCTTCTGAACCTGTAGACCTCTCACGATCCAGGCACTATAGAGAGAAGTCTTATATGTTTGTTGCCTTTGTACTGCTCATTTAAAGGATGGAATCAGTCGATTGTTTGATTTCATAATTCAGCATGTAGGCTGCCTGAGAGGAAAACTCAATCCTGCTCTTTCATATTTCGGTAGTATTGAAATTATGAACTTGAACAGTCCTTTTACCCGGTATTTTGCAAAGGAGATTGCAGATATTTATGATTCAACTGTTGCCTTTGTTTCTGATAAGTATCTTTCTCACATACTATATGACATTTTGGTTCAGTGGCTCAATGCATAGGATAGTTCTTTTCTCACATAATAAGGTATTTGCATTGTGACTAATTGGATGCTCCCATAGCCGTAGGCGGGCATGTAAATTTGATGATGCAACTCTAACTTGTTCTTTGTTGCGGTCCGGCTATACGAACATGTGTACGCAATGTAGTCTGCTGCAGGCATATATGGTCTTGAATTCAGAATTATAAAGATCCTTTGTGTTCACCATTTCCGAATTGAACATCATCAGGAACATTTTGGAATTTGTTATACGTATGTGTGAATTATGTGCTGCGCAGGAACCATTGCATCATCTGTTGTTTTCGTACCCCTGGCCCTGGCTAAGTATATTTTGCTGTGGTCAATTAGATACTGCTAAGTGGGAATAACCAAGCGTTATACAGAAGTCGTATATCTTGCCCTTGAACTGCTCAGCTAAGGGATTTTTATGAATCTCAGAGATACACGCTCGCAGCTAGTTCATTTGTAGATCCACTCGTCAGAGCGGTTGCCGCCGCCGGCGGAGTCGACGTCGATGAAGATGCTGACGGCCTTGCCGATGCGGGGGCGGTCCTTGGTGGTCTCGAGGGAGTTGCGGACGTGGGCGACGGCGCCCCAGGAGCGGAGCGTGTTGGCCACGTCGTCGAGCCGGAGCAGGTACTCCTCCTCCGTCAGCGGGAAGGACCGCTGCTCCCGGTACTTCCACATCACGTTCATCGCCAGCAGGTTGCGCCCCATGAACTGCTTCCGGATGAGCGTCACGTCGTAGCTCCGGCCGTAGCGCTTCCGGATGAGCGTGGCCAGGTCGAGGCCGCTGAAGCCGTCGTCGTCGGGCGCCCCCACCAGCCGCTCCAGATCCTCCCGGTTCCGCCTCGACGACGCCCCCTGCAATCGACCAGTCAGTCAGCTCCCCTGTTCGTCAGCAATCGATCGACGTGCACGCACGCAACAAGATTAGTGTACCTCCTCGTCGTCTTTTCTTCGCTTCTTCTCTTGGTCGTCGTCGTCGCCGTCGTCGTCTTTGCCGCTGCTGGATTCGCCGCCGTCGTCGGCGACGGCCCTGACGGCGCCTCGGCGGAAGGAGCTAGAAGAAAGCCTCCTGGTCATGCTAGGATGAGGGTTAACTGCGACATGGCCTGAGCCGCTCCGGCGTGGACACGATGACACGTCGTGGTGGTGGCGATGGATGCGCAGGCTCTGCGGGTGGCCGCTGGAGAGCACATTCATCATGGAGGTCGGCCGATCACCACGACGCGACAGGTTCCAAGATGGATCCACTTGACTTGTATGAGCAGCCTGGAAGAAGACGAATGAAGAATTATTTGTCTGTCGGGACGAAGCACAAAAAAAAGAAGAAGAAAAACAGAGGACTCTGTAACGCTGGCCGAACCTACCACTCCTATTTTCCTGAAAGTCTAAGTAATACTGATTCGGAGACCTCATGACAAATAGGCTTTGAAAAGAATGGAACGCAAGAAAGGACATTTGGTCTAGTGGCATGATTCTCGCTTAGGGTGCGAGAGGTCCCGAGTTCAATTCTTTTTTTTTTTCATCTTTTCCTTAATTTTTTTTACTCTTCTCCACAGACCTGCATATTTTCATCAGTAGGTGAAGGATTTTTGTTTTGTTTCCCCAAACACACTGCTGAACACTCTCGGTATATATGGTACTTCTGCAATAGTATAGAACAAATATCCTATGAATGAATGCATGGATGGAGATCTTCCACGCAACCACACTGAGCAAATGGAGGAATTAAACAAACCTGAATCAGCATGCATGCTGATGCAGATATAGTCAATTATCTAAAGGAATAATTGGCAACAAAAAAATATTAACTAGAAACCAAGTTTACCCAGGAGAGCTGAGCGGAGTAATTAATCAGGCAGCCAGGTAGTTTTTACTTACCTCGGAAGCCTTTTCAGATCAGATCCCCGTGCTCGCAGGGAAGAAGAAGAAGAAGAAGAAGAAGAAGAAGAAGAAGAAGAAGACAGATGCTGAGAGGATGCAGAGGGCGACAAGGAAGGAAGGAAGGTTCAGCAGAGGGAGAAGAGGAAGAGGAGGAAATCCCCAAGCTCTGCTTGCTTTTTGGTAGGCTTGCGTGACGCCACAGCCACAGCCACACCAGTGACCGGACCAAACTCAAGGATGGATGGATGCGTGGTGGCAGACGCACCGGGGACGCTCACCACCCACATTCTCTCTCTTTCTTTCTTTCTTTCTTTTCCTCCCTCTTTCTCTCAGAAAAAAAATAGAAGATCATGCCCATGAGGGAGTTTCTTGGTCAATTCCCACACTATGTAGGGTATTCACTTACTTGCTCATCTGCTACCAAATGATCTCCTCATTGTTTTCACGGGTTCGTTTTACCGGGCCGGATTAGTATCTCTAGCACTATATTTATTTTTCTCTCTATGACTTTTCACTTTTTCTTTGTACGCATGTACTGTACATAGAGTTGTGGTAGTACTCCCTTCATTTTTGTATACAAGTCTACAAACCCATATTACAGGTACCAAGGTAAAAATCAATGTATGTTTAAGTCAATGTTGCAAGCTAGCTTGTCACCTTGTTTGTCGTGTTAATTAATGTGGTTTTTTCTTCCACACACAACAAGCCAACCCTCTTACTCCTCGTCGGTTTATTAATGTTGGGAATGCAAGCCAACCTTCTCACTCCCGCATGCATGCAAGGGATATTAATATCCTTGGGTGCTAGTACAAGTCAAACACCATCAATTTTGCCTCGGTTAATGTTAGTGGCCTTGTATAGTTGCAAATTGTAATTTTAATAGTGCCCTTGTGAGTAGCTTATTTTGGGGTGAAAAATGCTCCCTCCGTCGTCCGAAATTAGCCGAAGCTCAAACGGGTGTGTCTAGCACCGACATACATCTGTTAGAACAAATCCGGGATTAATATCTCTAGCACTATAGTTTTCTCTCTATGACTTTTCACTTTTTCTTTGTACGCACGCACTCTACACATAATTGTGGTAGTAGTATCTTTTTTGGGGTGAGAAATACTCCCTCCCCCGTCCAAATTTAGCTGAAAATCAAACGGGCGTGTCTAGCACTGAAATTTATCTAGATACATCCGTTTGATCGTCAACTTATTCTAGACGGATCGGCCGTGGACAACAACGCACTGTGTGTTGGTTAACAAAAGCACCCGAGGAGATTAGCATTTTTATTTCAGAGGATCGTAAAACCATGATTAATTAATGAAATGCTTTTTCCCCTGAAAAAAACTTATTCCGGACGGAGGAAGTATAATTGTGGTAGTTACTAGTAGTAGTACTGGCATGCACCGCCCAGACCATGAATTAGATCTTCCTCATTATCGGTGTGATATTATTGGGCTTTGAATCAGAACTTAATTGTGTGTTGAAATCGATCTGATGAAAATTCAAGGAATCTTGGTTACAAGTCTGTACAAGCAACAACTCAAATGGGAGCATTTTGTAGGGCTTCCACTCCTGTCTTATTCTCTCTGTAGTCTGTATGGGCATGGTTTGCGAATATTCAGTTCGCCGCGCGGGCTCATCTGCACACGGTAAACAGTAAAATCGAAAAAACCTGAAAAAAAATGGATGCAAGATAATTCAGTGCATGTGGTGGGTGCGCAATGTCATGGCTAAATGAAATTCGAGGAACTTGTGGCAAAAAAGATAAAATAAGCTCCTATTATGACGTTACCTTCCGGGAGCAGTATGTCGAGGTGCAACTGGCCGACTCAATATGAGTTCCTCCGGGAGCAGTATTTAAGTGGCATATTTTGTCTTTTCTTTTCCTATGTTTCCGTGCTGGGTTTCATCGTATTTTTTGTTTTTTTAGTTTTCTGTGTTTCTTTAGCAGTTTTCCATTTTTTAATTTCTCATTATTTTCTTTTGTGTTTTGGGTTCCTGGTTTCTTACTGGGTTCCTTAAGTTTTTTTTATTTCTGTTTCCTTTTTTCTTTCTATTTTTTTCAACACATATCTAATTTTTTCACACACATTGTACCCTTTTGTCATAGACCAAACATTGTTTTTATACAGATTGCTTTTTCAAAGATATATTTTGATCTCTACCTTTTTCTTCACACACATTATACATTTTTCGTATACATTTTTTTACATGTCAACAATTTTCAGATATATGATTAACATTTTTTTAAATACATGTTTATGAAAGATATATTTTTTAGCTACTTGATTTTTTTTAATTGTAGAAATATAGTTTCAGTGTCACGAACATATTTTGTGAAATGCATGAACATTTTGTTAAATTTATGGTACATTGTCAGTATTTTTTTACATTGTAGGAATATAAATATTTTTAAAAATTTCATGTACATTTTTTGAATATTGCGAACATTTTTTATTACATGTCACAAGTAGTAATTCTATCAACATTTTAGAAAATATACGTATTTTTTACAAAGTGTTAACATTTTTCAAATTTGTTGTTTTTAAAATTTGAAGTAATTTAAATTTGGGCAACGCTAGCTTCAGTCAAACATCAAGCGGGATATATCAACTCCTTAAAAGCATCCCCCTGTTGGGGTAATTTCAAAAAAAATTCTACGCACACGCAAGATCATGGTGATGCATAGCAACAAGAGGGGAGAGTGTTGTCTACGTACCCTCATAGACCGTAAGCGGAAGCGTTATGACAACGCGGTTGATGTAGTCGTACGTCTTCACGATCGACCGATCCTAGTACCAAACGTACGGCACCTCCGTGATCTGCACATGTTCAGCTCGGTGACGTCCCACGAACTCACGATCCAGTAGAGCTTCGAGGGAGAGTTTCGTCAGCACGACGGCGTGATGACGGTGATGATAAAGCTATCGACGTAGGGTTTCGCTTAAGCATTACGACGATATGACCGAGGTGGATTATGGTGTAGGGAGGCACCACACACGGCTAAGAGATCAATGATCAACTTGTGTGTCTATGGGGTGCCCCTGACCACGTATATAAAGGATGAAGGGAGGAGGAGGCCGGCCCTTATAGGACGCGCCCAACGTGTGGAGTCCTATTAGAACTCCCTAGTCCTAGTAGGATTCCACCTCCCACATGGAATAGGAAAAAGGGAAGGGAGAAGGAGAAGGAAGGAAGGGTGATGACCCACAAGTGTAGGGGATCTATCGTAGTCCTTTCGATAAGTAAGAGTGTCGAACCCAACGAGGAGCAGAAGGAAATGATAAGCGGTTTTCAGCAAGGTATTCTCTGCAAGCACTGAAATAATAGGTAACGGATAGTTTTGTGATAGGATAATTTGTAACGAGTAACAAGTAACAAAAGTAAATAAAATGCAGCAAGGTGGCCCAATCCTTTTTGTAGCAAAGGACAAGCCTCTACAAACTCTTATATGATGTAAAGCGCTCCCGAGGACACATGGGAATATCGTCAAGCTAGATTTCATCACGTTCATATGATTCGCGTTCGGTACTTTGATAATTTGGTATGTGGGTGGACCGGTGCTTGGGTGCTGCCCTTACTTGGACAAGCATCCCATTTATGATTAACCTTTATTGCAAGCATCCGCAACTATAACAAAAGTATTAAGGTAAACCTAACCATAGCATGAAACATATGGATCCAAATCAGCCCCTTACGAAGCAACGCATAAACTAGGGTTTAAGCTTCTGTCACTCTAGCAACCCATCATCTACTTATTACTTCCCAATGCCTTCCTCTAGGCCCAAATAATGGTGAAGTGTCATGTAGTCAACGTTCACATAACACCACTAGAGGAGAGACAACATACATCTCATCAAAATATCGAACGAATATCAAATTCACATGACTACTAATAGCAAGACTTCTCTCATGTCCTCAGGAACAAACGTAACTACTCACAAAGCATATTCATGTTCATAATCAAAGGGGTATTAATGTGCATATAGGATCTGAACATATGATCTTCCACCAAATAAATCAACTAGCATCAACTACAAGGAGTAATTAACACTAATAGCAACCCACAGGTACCAATCCCAGGCTTAGAGACAAGAATTGGATACAAGAGATGAACTAGGGTTTTGAGAGGAGATGGTGTTGGTGAATATGTTGATGGAGATTGCCCTCTTCCGATGAGAGGAGCGTTGGTGATGACGATGGCGATGATTTTCCCCTCCCAAAGGGAAGTTTCCCCGGCAGAACAGCTCCGCCAGAGCCCTAGATTGGTTCCGCCAAGGTTCCGCCTCGTGGCGGCGGAGTCTCGTCCGGAAAGATGGCTTATGATT